GGATATTCACATTATATTACAGTCAGGGAAGACATCAAAACAAAAAAAGGCCTCAAGTATTTCATCATCATTCACTGAAAAACTTGCGTTTAACCTATTTCCCCAAATGAGTCAAGATTAACCCCTGAGAGGTCTTTCAAATTGTATCATTCTCCTGGATTTTAACCATTCATGAGAGAAACCACCCATCCACATCTTCCTGTCATTCATCCAACAGTGTGAGCTCATTTTTTTGATACTCGATAACATATCAAGCAGGACTATTCTGACTCTGATGTGATCAGCGTCGAGGAGTGGTGTAATCCTTTGAAGGACAACATCCCGACGTCAAGCCCCGCTTTAGATTCGGGCCTCACTACCTTCCCTCCAATTCCGATTTTACGATCTTAACATTATGCTGCCAATAGAATAGGACAGCCTTGTCCACACAACCAAAGGTTGGTCAGACCTTAGCTATGAGGACAAGGTGACCCTACCTACTTCAAGGTTAGGAGACCAACCCTATCCTTGCAGTAAATCGTGGTCGCCTACTCTACAGACAGCGTCCTGATAAAACCACAAAACTTTACTCCCTTTCAACGGTAATGTAGTCACCCCCTTCCTCAAGGAAAGGTGACAATATCCCGCTATGGACCAGGAACAATGTTCCTGGCACGGGCCTCATTACCGCTTACGAGGCTCACACCTTTCAAAATTTTGTCACAACAAGATATGAGATAGGGTATTTTCATGCCATACATTGCAGTCCATTTTACATGCATAGTCATTCACAAATCATTCATTCAACCATTCAGAGAAGAATATTCTCGTTAACACACATGGAAACGACACACAGAAAAGACACATTTGAGAGTTCAGAGTCACCACCGTTTTTATCGCAACATTTTATTATTGGATTACAATGAGATCCAGAATAAATATCAACAACTGTACAGAAAATCAAAAATATCTCTAATAAGAAAACAAAAAGAAGTCATACCCTAAGCTATGTCTCAGTGTTTGTTTCTCAAATGAAAAATAACCAGGAATACTATTACTTTACAGAAATAGTCAAAAATAATTATTGCCTCCAATTCCTCTGAATGAATTTTCGTAAACGAGAGCTAGAAACCCAATTCCGACAACGTGCCCCATCCATTTCTTCGATCTCATATGCTCCATGATTCGTTTTTCTGACAATGCAATACGGTTCCAACCATCGACTGTCCAGCTTCCTTGAACACTGTTTTTCCAAAGACAAATCATAAAAGAGAACAATATCCCCGATTTCCAAAGGCTCTTTACGAACTCGAGGCTGCTTATCCCATCTGTCCTTGTCTGTCAGCCTGCTCTCTGCAGTTGAAGCAATAACCTCTTCAATTTTCTCCTCTTTGATCATTATTTGTCTTGCCCTGAGCTCAAGTAACTCTTTTGTAGAGAGGTTAGTTCCCCATATTCTGTTTCTGCCAGGTAGTCAGAAAACTTTCGATTGGGAAAGTAGCATGTCGTCCGAACCATAGAGTCACAAGAGCATATCCAGTTGTTCGCTTGATAGTAATATTTTCTACAAACATCGCCGCCCTCAGATAAACAGGCCATCTTGATGGATTATCCGCACACCACTTTGCGAACAAGTTTGTCAGAGTAGCGTGTCCTCTTTCAACTGGAGCATTGGTCTGGGGATGAGCTCTAGTGGAGTAACTATAATTTACACCGAGCTTCTTCAAAACATCTTGTACGTCTTCTGCACGAAATTCCCCAACTCGATCCATCACGAATTCACGGATAAACGGGTATCGAAGATAAAATTCTTCAATACATCCTGCCAGAATCTTCGCCGTTCGCTCACGGATTGCGCATCTATCGACGAAGCTGGTTAAGTTATCCCTAACATTAAAGATATACATGTATTCATTTATCCCTCGTGGCATTACCAATAGATCAAGATGGACTACGACACCTGGCTCAGTCACACACCGAGGATTAAGCGGTTCAATATACCGTATATTTGAACGTTTCTGACAAAGGAGGTAGGAATTACAAAAGTCAACAATCATTTTCTGTATCCCTTCCCAGAAGTAAAGATGTTGAATTTTTCGCAATATGACTCGTGCCGATCGGTCACCGCCTGCTATTCCACCATGCAGAGCGACCATCACATCAAGCTGCCTGGTTAATCCACATACCACTCTCCTTGGAATACAATTGTCTGACTTCTTGAAGTGATGACCAAACCTGACAACAAAATCCTTACTTTTCAAGCGAACTTCTGGATCGATCTCACCTCCATCAGTCTCCTTATTCAACCATAATCCAATTTTCTAATAGATTTCATCATATTCACCTTTACGGAAAGTTTCCTTGATCTCACTGCTTCCTCCTTCCTCTGGCATCATCTTGAGATTATCCTCCTGAATTAAAGAATTTACGGGAAATAACAAGCCCCCACAAGTTCTAGAGGCTTTGTCAACTTGCTCGTGACCTCCCTCGATCGTCAGAAATTCGTCTGTAATACTGATAGAGTCAGATAATGTCAAACTCATCATTTGTTCTGATGCCCTCTCTTCCCATGGATCTTCTTCAATAAAAGTTTCACCTGTAACTAGTTCAGAACGTACCTGATAAGAATTAAGTGCATTCCAAACAGACTTTCCAGATCGGAAAGAAACATTCTCTAAGTAATTAATAAAATTAATACTTAGCCGATGTTTCTCCTTATCCAGGAAGCTGTCCACAGGGATTGAGTCTTCCACCTGATCCTCAGATGAATCCCATTCGATGGGGCTCAACCCATCTGCCCGGTTTTGAGTACCGGAAATACGCTCGATTTCAAAATCAAAAATCCATATATATGTTAGCCATCGAGCGACAATTGGATCTAATGGAGAATAATTTCTCAATGATTGGGTCAGAGGAGTCGGATCCACCCGAATAACAAAACGTCTCCCAAATACATAATTCCTGAATGTACGAAGACAATGAAGGACAACAAATGTCTCTTTCTTGAATTGGGAATAATTACGTTCAGTAGTATTCAAGGTCCGACTTTCAAATATTAGTGGTCGTTCCTGTCCCCCGTCATCTTTCTAGATCAAAACACCACCCAAAGTAGTAGGTCCTGTGTCTGTTTCCACGATGAAGGGTCGACTTGGATCATTGTCAAAGCAAGGAACGCCGAGAATCATTTCACCTTCTCGAAATGCAGCCTTCATGTCGTCTACTGTTGCCTGTTGCTTGAGTCCCCATTCCCAGTTTTTGTTTTTGCGTACCAATTTCCTCAAATGTTTTACCCTTGCTGCAAACCTCCGGATAAAGATACGTCAAAACCCACAAGTCCCAAGAAAACTTCGTACATCTGTGATGGATTTGAAAGGAGTCGGTCACTCCAAAATCTTGTTCGTCTTTTTCGTATCCCGCCGACGACCCTTCTTATCGCATAGGAATCCCAAAATTGTTGCCTCGCGCATGCAGTGCCTGGATTTGACACCGCTAGCTGTGAGGTTGTACTCCTTCAACTTTTGCAGGACCTTTACCACATCGTGAATATGTTCCTAGACAAACTTGTGAGTGTCTTGTAACACTTCCGTCTCGTCCTTTATGCGAGGTCCTGGAATAGCCAAATCGTCGATATATGGCGATGTCACGTCAGGACAGAGTGGCTGCATGACTCTCATCATATACCGTTGTACAATAGCGACGACATTTGTCCAACCTTGAGGTGCTGAACACATATGAATCAATCCCCTACGCGTATGCATTGCCGTCATTTGTCTATCCGCTGTATACAAGGGGAATTGATCATAACCTGAATACAAATCAATCAATGTTATAATGGATCTACCTGCACAAGATTCTGACAGTTGATCTGCATGTGGAAGCTCACCTGCAGGTCCTGGACTCATCTGAGGACGCCGTTTGGTTTGATAAAACAGAACCAAGGAGATGCATGTGGACGATAAGAATAGTCGGCCACTTTCGTCTGAATTTTTCCATCCAGATACTCAATCACCTTGCGATAATCGTCCGGATTTGGATATCGTGGACCTCTTATATTCTATAGCTCATGTGGCACCGTATGTATTCTGATCATAGGAATCATATCAACATCCAACCTTCCTTGTTCGTTATCATCAAAGACATAAGCCAGATGTACGTCCTTTAAAGTACTAACGAGGAGGTCAGTTTCTGCCTTAGTCAGAAATCCATCGTCCCCAATGATCATTTCCTTGATTCTGTCGTTCGTCAATCGACATGGTCCTTCTTTTGCCTTCATCTTCATTGTCTTGATCCACTCTCTTTCTTCCTCGTTATAAATTTCCTGGTCCTGAGTGATCAAGACAGACACAAGCTGTGCTTTCACTCCTACTTTCTTATGTCTGCGCTTCGATCCCTCGGCAAGTTTCCGTCCTCTAAAAAAGGACCCTACCTTGATGCGGGCATAACCAGTGTACTCACCTCCTGAGATGCGTCCAATCGATATGTCAAAGTCATACTTCCTGCACCTCCCACATCGGCTATCGCATTAGTTAAAGCCTGCACCAATCCTGGGTCAACTAAGGCTCCTATTGATAGGAAATTTATTGCCTGCGAGATGTCTGGCAAGGCAATATAAAATTCCCTTGGCTCTTCAAAACCGTCAAATGACTCTTTCTCTTTCCTGAGTCTCTCTGACTCTGGAAACGAGTAGGATCCGGGATTAAGCCGGTTCCTCGAGTTTTCAGGCCCTGTGTTTTTGCATTTTCTCACCTCATAGTATTCACACACAGGGTCACACAAGGCGACAAACATGGAGCCATCATGCTTATTAATAATTATGCTCTCAGTCCTGCATTGAAATGGTCTTCCCAGCAATACTTCATGCTCAACTCTGGGCAGAACATAGAAGTAGGAACGAGCTTTCACCCTTCCTACTGAGACCATGACGTCGCTAGCCGTTCAACAGAAAGGAGTTGATCCACTTGCGCCTATAAGGAATCCAATATCAGCTCGATTGATTCTGATTCCTGCCTCCATGACTTCCTTTTCTCGAATGATATTCATTTCAGCACCGTCATCTATCAGGGCAGTAAACTCACCTTGCCCAACATGCACTTTTAGGAGACCAGTGGCAACACACCGCCAGTCCATTTTTGTTCATGCAGGTGCCCTGTTAGCCTCTGGAGGAATGATGTTTCCAAATTTAACGATCATTACCTTCCTCCGCGTTAGTCTCTGCTTGAGCTCATCAAGGATCTTTGAAGATGCTGCCAGAAATTCCTTTAGCGTAAACAAGTCACGCTGACTTTCCAAGATACGATCAACAATCTGCTCAATGTCAATTCTTTTCTCAACAGGAATTGTGTAAATATTCTTCTTACGTCGAGGCTCCTCTTCCTCGACTGCCTCCTTTCTTTTCTCAACATCTTGCTCTGAAGTGCGCTGTTTTGATTGCCGCTCATCTTCGGCACGCAGTTTCTCACCTTCCTTGTCTGAATTGCTCTCTTCATCATCCTGGACAAGGATTTCTTCTACTGGTTCCTTTGACGTACCTCTTGCAACCGTCTTATTGCTTACGACCTTTCGAGTTTTTCGCACTTGCGGCAATGTCGTCGGGGCTGCTCGCTTAAGTACAGGTCGCGAAATCACATTAGCATTCATGGATCTAGGCCCAGATGAAGATTCAGGTTCAGTTGGAGAGGTATTATCATGTACATCCCATCCTCCAAATAGGTACAAATTAGGTAGACCTGGCCATTCTTCATCCATGTCGAGACACAGTTGAATGACCGTGTCTCGGCATTTTCTCATTTTTTCAGTCACCTTCTGGGCCCGTTGGATGAGCATTTCTCCATGTTCCGTCAGTTATCCCAATTCCACCTCTTGGTCATCAATCTGCAAAGATTGAAAAGCTTCCTCCATTCTGAAGAGTTCTTCTTCTTCAGGCGATGCCATTCTAAAGGTGGCTGGCAAACTTTTCCCCATTCGTCGGAAAACTTCTTTCCTAATGCCTCCTTCGATATCAGGATCAATAAGATTTTCTTCAAAATCATAGACTTCCCCATGAATGGTAGTATATACGATCTTATCTGCCTCGTCTTTGGTGAGGATTTGACAAAATCGCATAACATGTCCCTTCTGGACGCAATACTTACATGTAAGATCTTTGGCCCAGTTACCTCGTCCACCAAAATTTCCACGCCCCCGCCCACGGCCCCCTCCAGCGTGTTGCTGACTTGGGCCGGGTTGGGATTGATCAGGCTGTGCCTGAGCATTTCCGCCATTTCCACCATTTCCACCATTTTTCCCTTGCTTCTTGGAAGTCCCTGGACCCCCTCGAATGTGATTTAAAGCCTTTCTCTCAGCTTTTGTCAGCTTCTTGGGTGGTTCCTCTTCCTCACTCTCGCTATCACTGTTGCTTTCCACAGCAACCTCTTTCGCCTTTCTTTTACTTTCCTTTGCCTTGACCATCATGATTTCCATCTTCAGACGTTCAGCGCGCATATCTGTCATCATTTCTCTCATATCTGATAAGGTCTTGAAAACTTCACGATCCTTATCTTTACTGACATCCTCCTTCTCGTGATCTTCCTTGAGCTGCTTTAGTAGTCTGTAAAGCATTTGGTCAAAGCCTCCTGCCAAAAGATTAGCTTTTATTTTTGGCCAGTCATATTTTCCTTGCATATCTTTCATCAACTCTCTTTGCTCGACTTCTGAGAAGTTGTCCAGAAAGATGATGCATTTATCTTTATCTGGCAAATCAGAAATTAGTCGAGCGATTCGCTCAAACTCCATCAAGAATTGTCTAGTTGACCCGAACGTTCGTCGGACAACTTTTCGGAGATCAGCCAGATCTAGTAGCTGATCCTCCAGCTGATATTTGACCAACAAGTTTTCTTTGAACTCAACCCAATCTTTCGATTCGTTCCCTAGGGTCATCAACTCCTCCTTATATCCCACCTTACAATATCGTTTTACTTTCTGCAACATCTCTGCGTCAGTCCATTCTCGACAACTCGCCAGTTGCTCGAATTTTTTTGCCCAGCCAGAGGCGTTGTTGCCATCGAACAAAGGCACATCCACCTTTGGAAGTTGATTTCTTTGTCCGGATGATTCTTGAATCGCCTTGGCTAATTCCTTAATGTCGTTTATCCTCTCGCCGTCAGACATCTTAAGTAACACAAGAACAATAACATCACACATCTTTATTTCAATCGACTACTCCTTGTTTTTCCATTCCTGTAAAGTTTTTCCTGATTTTTCATTTGAAAACAAAACAAAACAAGCTTAGATTATAATTTCTTAATATTTTTTTACCCGAGTGTCGTTCCACCAGGGACAACGGTAGTTTGCCGTTATCCCCGGCAACGGCGCCACCTGTCGAGCGCATCGGCCCTCGCGTGAACGAGGGTCTTCCCGGCCATGTCACGCAGGAGTTACTTATCAACAACAAAACACGGAGACAACTTAGGGACAAAAAGCAAAATAGTTTTCGCAAACTGCCGAGACGGTGCGTGGTCGCGTCGTCCCTTCGCCGCTCTAGCCGGGTGCGCCAGCTCTACATCCTGTGGTCCCCTGCGACAGGACAGGTTCCCGCGGGGCATAAGCTTGCTTCCCTAAGGGGTTGTCACCACCCTTAGGGGCGTATCCCTACCGAGCTACCGACCCACGTGCAAAAGCTTTAATATGCAATTGCAGAGGTAGGTCGGCCGATGGCGTTTGCTCACACGCTGTAGTATAGGTATACGAGAGTTAAACGCCTGTTGAACCCGAACGTTGTTCGTCACTTAGGGCGCTGATCTCCTGAGGATGAAGCAAACGTCAATCGACTAGGGTAATTAAGAAACAAACAATTCAACCCCAGTCCCATGCGTATCATACTCATCAGAATATATAACTTTTCAAAGCAATACATACACGGATCAATTTTACAGTCAATCATTTCAATAAGTAAAACGTAATACTTAACATAATTGATTTGGTCTGACGAAAAAGATCATGCTGTCTTACTTCCTCCTCATCGGAGATGTAACCTCTTATGTATAAAGAGGACCTTTTAGATCTATTTCCTCGATCTGAATTTGTGTTTGGAATTTTTTTCACTTGCGTTTCACATAAAAGTCTAAAGATAACTTTAGACTGAAGAAATAAATTTGTTTACTTTTTACTTCCTATGTATTTACCCCTCAATGCCAAAGCATGATAGTGAAATCATCGGGGTAATCCGAATACTATCCATCCGGCGGTCCTAACTACATAAAGTGTTTTTGTTTTTGTTTTCGTTTTTGAGATTACCTCGTGAAGTCATAATCATATGACTTCCTTGACGGGATTGGTCTATGCAAAAAGGTTTTTTGGAATCTGAGTAAGATTTCCAGAAAGCGGCGTCTAACCCTGGTATATCTGTCGTCCTCCACGCACATGCATCTCTAGCAAATTCAAACGCGCGCGCTTGTTGTCGTCAAGTACCAGGGTTATCACTCGCCCTCTTCGCATGACTCTAAAACTCGGAGTAACATACAAGGAAGCCATCCATAAAGCTAGCCTCCACAGTATGACTCGAAAAGGCCGACTGAGTCCTAACAAATGTCTAGTCTCAGTATCCCGGATCCGGATGACGTCGAAACGTCTGCCAGACGAGGTAATCGTAATGCTCACAATGACTACAGAGAGACATTGGAGGTTACTCGCGCGGTGGAAATACAAGGTATATCCAAAGAACTCATCTGGGGTCCGGGTCGTATCGGCGCGAAAGTCTGCGCGAGTATGAGGGAAAAATCCCTCGCCGTTGCGGAGCAATCCAATGAAGTCAGACCAGTCGATAGGGGATCCATCTCGAACTCGTAAAAGTCGCGTTGCACTCCTGATGAGATGCTCCTCGGGTGTATCACGGACCAGCAGACACCTCGGGATCGTCAAGTCTCGTCGTGCTCTAGGCATTTGCGTATCAGAACGAAACCAAATCAGTCAAGTAAAAACTCATCGAGTTCTTCCGCTTCATTTTCCAATTCATCATCATATAGCGCTTCGGCCCCTATAATTGCAAACCTATTGGCACGCATCCGCTCCGCGTAGTATATGTTAAAAAATGGGCCTTGTCACTCGTTCAACCAAAGCACATATAACGGACAAACATCAACCTTATTTCAGGGATTTCGTTCACTCGTGGGTTGATCTCATAGGGCTGCAACACCACCAGGTTCATATTAACGAAGTGACGCTCAGGCAATGCAGGTGCAAATTCGTAATGAAGAATATCCAAGCCGTTATCTCTCCTGAAAACAAGTCGCCTGGGGGTCTTTGCGCACTACCATCCCAAAATCACGGAACGTCCTCCTCAGAATATAATTCTGACGGATTACAAATAAGTCGGCCTACACTTTCTACCCTCACTTCATCACGCCTTTGGAGTTCAACTCCCTCCGCCGCCGCATCACGATTGTTGAAAAAGAATAATTCTGTGGATCCCATAGCCATCTGAAAGAAAAGGGAAGACAAATGTGATCAAGTTAAAACTAAGTATTACTAAAATATTTGTCTTCCTTCTGGCTCGTGCTTCTTATGGCACGGCCAGCCACATCTGGAGTATCTAAATACACCCCGTTTGGCTAGTAGGACACGAACTGGGCTGCTTGTGGCACCAGTTCCCCATACGTCAGTGGCTCCTAGAATGGCCACCAAAGGAATACTATGGCACTTCCTCCTTACGCAAGGCACCAAGAACCTTAAACCACAGGTCCCCCTCACGAAAAAAACCTCGGGGTACCGATAGCGCCGTTTCACGACGGCTACCTGTAGTACAGCTCAGAAAACCGGGCAGGCCTGCGTACGAAATTTTGCGACAAAAATCTGAAATAAATCGAATCGCCGCGGCAATTATTTCACCGTTAAAATATATATATATATATTTTTCTGATATTTTTTCCTGAAAGATCACGACCTAATCTACGGACCCTCAAATTTTCAGACATTTTGGTGAATTACTTTCAGCACGAAAAATCGGCAAAGTTGTTGCTTGGAAAGTGGCGGGATTTGGACCCGTCGGCCTCCGCACAACCCGGAGCCTCAGTACGGTCGCCGCCCCTCCGTACAACCCGGCCCTAACTCACCGGTACCAGGGCTTTTCGGTGGCGGGGGGACCTGTGGTTTAAGTCCGTCCGTGCAGACACTTTTGTCCATCCCCCTAGGAGGTGGTCTGGGATACTCCTCCTCCTCGCCCGAGCACAAGACTCGGATCTCATAAGTCGGGCCGTCTCCACCGAATCGGCATGGTATCCCCCCGAAAAGCGGTCCACTCTAAGTCGATAACAGGGCCGGCCTCTAAGGCAACGAACCCCCGCCCCAAATGCCTCCTAGAAGAAAGGAAAAACACCTACCCGACGGACGAGCAAGTTCTTGCCACCTGACGTCAAGAGTAACTTAGACAAAAGAAAGAAAGAACACAGAAGAGAAAGCCATTCAGATAGACAGGCATAGACGAAGAGGTCATTCGGGCAAGAATAGGTGATCTTGGGAGAAAATTTATGTTCATCCAGGTTTCTCTTCTTTGTGGTCGCTTATTTTTCGTCGTCTTCTTTTCACTTTAATTTACACACATCCATAAGCATAGAGATGAGAAGACAACCATCCTTTCACCATCATCACCATCATCCATTTCAGCCCACACGCCGTACCTGCAGTCAAAACCCAACGACGCACAGACCACCATGCAATCCTTTTCCATTGTCAGACTCTTTGTCATACACGCAAACGCACACATTCTCTTCCCTTTTTCAATGAACATTCAGTAAAAACAGGTCAAAGCAAGTGTGGGTCCACTCAGGCGTGAAGGGAACTGAGTCAATTTAACTGACCACTGACCTTGAGTGAAGTAATACGGTGCACTCAAGAAAAGCATATAAGATTACACTCCTGTTGACGTGACGGTGGTCGTCTCCAGTCGTCACCTAAGTGATCGACACCACTCTTGCTGCGACCACCTACCGCAACACCCCCTCGCTTACTTTTCAATAAGTATCACTGCCACTGACTTTCATTGTTACCGCGTCACCACGTCGTCACAATTCACACCACTTCAATCCTCCTCTCCAGCGGTACCTTTCCCTACACCAAGGTCCGGCTGCCGCAAAATGTGGAACTTCTACCGCCGGTAACCTTGCGTCGCCGCCGTAAAATTTTCACAGCGCTTCCGCACCACCGCGGTGTAAACCGGAGTCACCGCCGAAAAATTCGGACAGCGCTTCCGTGCCACCGCTGAAAAACCCGTAGTCGCCAATGTAAAATTTCGGCAGCGCTTTCGGACCACCGCCGATAAAACCGTAGTCGCCGCCGTAGAATTTCGGCAGCGCTTTCGCACCACCGTCGATAAAACTTGTGCCGTCGCTGCAAAAATTTGGCAGCACTTCGGTACCACCGCAGAAAAACCGTGTGCCGCCGCTGCAGAAATTAGGCAGCACTTCGGTACCACCGCAGTAAAAACCGGGACTGCCGCTGTAAAATTTCGACAGAACTTCCCCACAGTAGTGAGAAAATGGCAGGCCAAAATTGGTAAAATTTGGGCCCCAGGCCCAAATCTCACGGCGCCGCACTGCCGCCGTCCGCAGCGCCACTGGGTCTGTCCCGTGGGACCAGCACCAGCCAGAGGGAAGAGGAGAAGAGTGCTCCCTGCCTTAGCTATGGCTGCCCTGTCTTCCTGTCCGCGCTCCTCTGCAAATCTTCAGCTCCTCCTCCTTGTCTCAGGCAGCACCTCAGCAGCCCAGCAACACTCTAGTGCACGTCACACAATGACAACACGAATGTTTTGTGTGGCAGCTGGGGGCAGCTGGCTGTTTTATAGTGGCTGACGAGGTGTTGGACGTCACTCCAGCCCCCAGGCAAAATCGCGGGCTCACTGTAAGCCCTTGATCTGCCAAGATCCAGGGCTGACTGTGGCCGCACCACAGCCACAGCCTTAGTGTGGGGCAGTTTCTTTATTTGCCCTATTTTTTTTTATTTTTATCTTCCCCAGCTATCTCGGAATCTAGCGAGATAGCTGGGCTCCTGCCATTTCCAAATCAGTTTTTCTTTTATTTTTCTGATAAAGGGTTGAAAAGATATAACCCTTTTCAGTTTGATGTATCTGGACCCTTTTTCCGGGGCAGATACATCGAGGAAAAGGCAGCATCTAGCCTTTTCCTTAGTGGCCTTTAAATTTCCAGGCTCCCTGCAAAAAAGGGAGCCTGACAGTAACCTCTGGCAGCTTGTGCCAGAGGTAGCACCACGTGAGGACAAGTGTCCTGACACTAAATAAAGAAAAGAAAAGAAAAAACTAACTTCCTAATTTCTACTGGACCTGGCTTTTACCTTGGCCAGGTGCATGCTGTTGCATGCAACAGCCCCCTTCCTTTTTCTCTCCTGTCCTTCCCTGAAAACGAGGAGGCAGTTGGCAGGTTGGGAGGAGTAGGACCTCCCCCTCCCAATCCCCACGTCCCTTTCTCTCTCTCTTTTACGCGATTACTGTGGGCCGCGAGCTTTAAGATCTCGTAGCCACAGTATGTTGGCAAAAAAACGGAGTGGAAACCTTTGTGCTCCCACACAGTCCAAAGGACTGTTCTTTTTCCTACGAGGCAGTTGCCTCATTTTGCTTTTCTTTTTTTACCTTTTTTTTTTTTTTTAATACAGTTTTTAGTTTTTCGTTTGTTTTCAGTCCTTCCCCGTTTCTGCCTTGTTGGCTGTGGCGTCAATGGCCACGAACAGGGAGGGAGAAAACAAAAAGGAGAAATAAACTTAAAAAAAAAAAAGAAATAAAGAAAAATAAACTTACCTAAGCACTATGGCGACCACAGCAACATCAGTGGGCTTGGTAATTGTCTGTGGGATGTATTCTCCCACGTTTTGGCGGGAGATTCATTCGACTTTGCTTGCCTGCTTGTTGGGAGTAATGTTGTGGCCAACTGCAGGAACATAGTCCCACTAGCAAAGAGGATTGAATCGAATGCCTTAATCTGAACTAATTTATGGAGATGTGCAGGAAATCGAGTTTGAACTGCTTTTTTGCATATGTGCTTTAAGCACGTCCAGGTTCAGGAGCTCAAATCTATCCTTTTTGCTAATGGGACCTCGGTTTTTGCTAAGGGGACCAATTCCACAAACTTATATCAAAACTCGGACTTCGTCCGACATTGAAAATACAGGGCAGATACCCTTGTTACGGTTTCTGTCTCGACAACGTGACTGTGCAAAGGATTTCTGGTTATGCAGAAGGTCCCCGACCGACCGGGCTTTCTGCCAGACGGCCTCCATCCTCCGTGCATACAAGTCAGCGAGTGATATAGGTGATACGTTCCTTTTAATCCAATCTTTGGTGACCGATTCTACCTTCCTTTTATCGACAGTGGTACAGAATGGAATCTTCACAGCGATATTTTCCCTTAAGTTGATCCTAAACTTCTTCTTTCCCACTCCCGTAAGAACCCCTCGCAGGATTTGCCTCCCTGTGTTTTGGCCAATCGATTTCACACTGCTGTTTAGTTTAACAATCTCATTGAGAGATAACTTAAACAGGTCCTTCCTCTTCTAGGGTGCACGTAGTAGGGCAATCAATTTCGCCTTATCTTGCTCAGTCCTGGTTTTGGTCATACACAGGGCAATTGTAGACCAGCAGCCACCCATTTCTATGCTAGCCTTGGCATCCCTTAGTAGTGACTTTACACCATTTACCACAATTTTTGACGCCCCAAACAACATCTTTACAATCCTCCAAGCTTTAACCCACTGACACCCGTCATTATTCGAGATTTGCACAGCCCCTTTCCTCTTAATCCTACTCAACATTTTTAAAATTCGCAATAAGTCGGGTTCCTGTTTGACATTAACCGCCTTACAATCGAAGAACAAAGGTTCCGCAATACACTGCAGTACCCTGTTCGGAGGATTCACTTTCCTGCCTCGACTCCTATGGGGTTTCTTTCCTTGGCTCCGACCTTTCGAATTTAAACCAAGGTTGTGACTTTTAATGATCTTTGCTTTCATACCTTCAATGGCAGACTGTTCCCCGAACCAGACTGGAATGGGAACATAGTGCTGGAGACCAGCCTTTCTAACCCAGGAGTGCACATGCTGCTTACTACCACCAGCAACGGCGCGGCAATGCTCACACCAACGATCTCTCAGGGACCGAACAATTTTTCCCACATAGACAAGCCTGTGACTCAAGGACATGACCACATAGACACACCCACCCCCCACCAGTAGTTGATTCCATTCTACTTTAGTCATATGCAGCCAAAAACGTACGTACGCTCTCTCCCACGCAATGTCACCACGTAAGGAGGCCAGAAGGATAATCAAAGTGTGAATCTGGTCGAGGAGAGTAACCAACATCTTATCACCACATTCCTTCAGCCTCTAAATCCTATTCACGGTCCTTCTTAGGGAGCGTAAACTCCCGATCTGCTAGTTCCCAGTCACGGCACCATTCTCAGTGGCGTCGGCCAACTCTTCGTTGTCACGATTTCGTGATGGCTCAGCAACAGCTTTCGGGGCCGCGTCCTTCAGTTGGTCTGCATACTCCTGCAGATCCAGCCGAGCAAGCTCCCAAGATCCGGTATCCTTTCGTACGTACTGCACGCCCTTCTATTTGCACAGCTCCTGGACTCGGAAAAAGTGGAGAGACATGTAGAAATTCTGCCTCAACTTCATATACGCGGCTAGTCCATCTTCATCTGCGTCCTCCTCATGGATTGGCTTCGGTGTGAGGTCGACGTCCTCAGAGTCACCAAGCTCAGGGCCAGGTTCGAACACCGGCTCGGGAGATTCCGCGCGCTGCTTGTTCTGCTGGCCAGCCAATCCTTGCACGAGCTCAGCCAAGAGTTTCTTAACTTTAGATAAATCGCTGCTCTTCTCCAGCTTCGGCGCCAGGTTCTGTTTGACACCATCTTCTTCGTCTTCTTCATCGGAGGAAATGTCTACCCGCCGTGATCTCGACACCGTGCTTCCCTTCGACCGTGCCTTCATAGTACCACTCTTTGGGGAACACCAGCCTGAACCGTGGGCACCCCAGGCGCCACCGTAGCTCTCTTCCTTTTTTCACTACTGCTCTCCTTGGCTTTACCACATGCAGCTTTTTCAAGTGCCGCTTTCTCCGCTCGCAGTCTTATGAGTTCCTCCTTCTCGGACGCCGTGACACTAGCTTTGGCATCAACCTCCTCCAGTTTCTTCGTAATGAGTTTAAGTGAGTCCCTGAGAGTAGAGGAGACCCATACCTTCATTTCGTCACTCTTCTCATTGGAGCGATGCTGGCCGGTGTGACTTTCGCCGGAATTCCCTGAGATCTGAAGGCCGGCACTTCGTCTGTTCACAGCAATTCTCTTCTTTGCTCCGTCGAGCACCTTTGTGGTTTTAATCTCCTCCAGTAGGTCCATGTATTCCTTGGTAAAATAAGCCCGGTTTCCTGGACCAGGAAAAGCATTTGCCGACGGACCCTTCCCTGCTGCCATCGGTCGATTCTCCTCCGAGTGTGCATTCTGCACCGAGGGATGATTACTCGTCAGTAGCTGACCATTAGCAGGCGGAATTGCCGGAATAGCAGCTACTGGAACCGCAACTGGAGCAGCAGCAGCAGGAGGAGGTTGCACAATGAGGGGCTGAGCAGGCTGCGCCAATGGTACTTGCGCTGGGGGCATTGCCCACGGTCCGGCGACCTGCCACGGTCCAGGCCATACAAGCGCATTCCATTGAGCAACAGGCGGTTGCGCTTGATAACCAACGTTCACACCGCCTGGTCCCGAACTAGGTGGAATGGCCACTTGGTTCGGTTGCTGCACATTTGGATACATCCCCGGCGGTGGCGGATTATACTGCCCGTTCGGCTGACCGCTCCCGCTCATATTCGTCCAATATCGTTCGCAGTTCGACCAGTGTCCCCTTCTAGGTGCCGCCCTCGCGTTCCTTCGCCCATACATACGTCTTAACACCGATAATACGAACAAGACACCGCCAATCCCGATACTCCAGGCGACACGATTGTCCCTCCTTCTCGTGTCAATAACCAAGCTCGACGCTCTTAGCATGCATTGCACTAACAGATCCGACGCACTGGATCAGGAGCCCACTCTTGGAGGCGCACGTCGACAAACCACTCCTTCGGTCGAGCGCTTCCAAAGAATTACACGCGGTACAGATATAGGATCGGAAAACGCACCGCTCACAGATGGAAGCAACGCAAAGAACGCAGATCTTCTGACACGCTGGAAACCATAATTACAAGAAACTGAAAGCACGAGAGATTGCTAGAAAGATACTGAAAATTTCAATCGTGGATAATGAAAAAATATATATTTATGAAAAGATTGATGAAAGAATTGATAATAGAATTGAAATGATATTACAAACGAACGAAAAAGAAGCACGACCCCGTAAGCGATAGATCGTTTACGAGATTCGGCGCCTCAGGCCCGTTCCCAAGCCACGGCAAGGTCGAACCTGAGGTTGTACGATATCAAGCATAAAACACAGTAATCCAGAAGAAGATGATGTGAGTTTTAATATCATGACGTCACCAACTCCTTCCCCACTCACCCTGATCGAACACCATCAGGGAATTCTCAACCCTTCTACTCATACGTCACTCAAGTTGAGGAAAAGCATTGTTTCTACTGCTTTTTATACTAATTTTCTCCTACTTTTTCCCTTCGTACTACGTTCTCCGCAGGACCGAAATCAGCCTTTCAATGGTAATGGGCCTCGCGCAGGCCGGGGGCCACTCCTAGCTTCCAATTCATAAGGTATTCTCCCTATATCCCGCTATCACAACCTGGTTCGTACCAAAAAATAGTCCGGCGCCATTCGGGCCAATACAAAACACTTCAACTTCATCGTATAATCCGAGTCATTAAGTGGACCAGGTTCATTCAGTATATTTTACCATCCCCCTTACGCTTAAGATCGGTTCTGCCGGATTTCTCCGGATTTTCTGTTCAACTAGCGCCGGCTTCCCGGTCTGGACGTGTTGGAGACTTTCATAAAGTCCAAAGCCTGAAAAACACCTGGGTTCGGAGTTAAAAATACTCCCAGCGTAGGTGCATGCTCCACCACCGCACTTTCAATCGCAGCATGTTAATCAGCCCGGGGAGGCAGAACAGGTTCAACGACATCCTGTATTTGCAGCATCCTTCGCTAGTACATTGTTCTGCCAGATTTCAAGAATCAGTCTCTCTTCAACTCCCTGTCTTATTTAGCGTCAGTATCAGGATTCTGCTCACTCAGCCAAACGCGTGCTACTCCGACGATCTTTTTCCAGAACTCATTAGGTTCACGCCTGTGCATCCACTCAAGCCCAGCTATCACCACCTGCCCGGGATACCCCCGTTTCCGCAATTCCTCGATTAATGTAAGTACATTGTTTTCAAAGGCTCTCTTCGGTATCGTTGTTATTCTGAGTAGGTTTTTATGAGTGCTTACGGGATGAGTGTCGAGGTGATTCTAGTAGGATATATCCGGCTACGTAGTACCGTGTTCGCGTTCGGAGGCGAACGTGAACATGTTCGCCCGAACGTGAACAAGCGCCCAAAATCCTCCGAACGCAAACATAAAAAATATAAAAAAAAAAAAAAACAAAGGTTCTCCAAAAAATCTGAGAAAAATATAGGTTATGTAAAACAACAATACAAGCAACTTTTGCCTTGGAGTCATGTTCAAATTCGTAACCAATCATGATTTAAAAATCAAAAACCGAAAAAAAATATATTATTATTATTTTTTTTTTTACGTAAAAAAATTACGTTCTCCCGAACATGTTCGCGACCTGTTCGCGCGAAAGCGCGAACACGTTCGCGCGAACGTGAAGGGGTGCGAACACGTTCGCCGTGCTACGCAGATATCCGGTATTTGATTTAGTTGTGTAACTCAATTCGAACCTCGACCCTAAGACCGCTCGTTGTTTTGTTCAACAGGTGAAGGGGTCGAGGGAGCTCGCGATGGAGGGTTCTCAAGGAAAGATTGGGGTCGAGGGAGCTCGCGATGGAGGGTTCTCAAGGAAAGATTGGGGTCGAGGAACTCACTTCTCTGTTGGGCCTGCGAGATTGGGAGCGAGACAACCTGCCCAAGGTTGAGATCGACTTCTTTAAAGGCTATCATGTTTCTGACTTCCTCGATAAGTTTGAACAGATAGCGTCCCACTGCAAATGGAATGAGGAACGGAGGCTGGAAGATATGATAAAGTATATCCATATAGGCTTGAAGGGTGAAGTCAATGAGCTGGTTAGGAAAGCGAGGTCATCATGGAGGAAGTTCTATGATGAAGAGGAAAATCGGTGTTGTAAGGGGATCTCCTTGTCTCACTGATCTTGACAACTTGTAGGTATTAGATATGTGGTCATTTACTTGTACCGCTCCATAGGCGTCTCTATAAAGAATCTTAACCCACTTTCAAAAGATAGGTCCTACCAGGACCTACCCCCATTTTTTTCCCATGGATTGTTGTAGGAAATTCCAGTTTACCTGGTCATAGTTTTTTTTCGAAATCAAAGAAGATGATGGATGCATTGATTTTCTTATCATTGATATATCTTACTGATTCCGCTAGTGTCATTACATTGTCTACTATGAATCGGCCCGGGATGAATCCTGTTTGGTCAATATGAAAGCAAAATTTGGTTATGTTTCTTGTTCTGTTCGCTAGGAGTTTGACTAGGATTTTGTAGGTTACCGTTAGGAGAGTAATTGGTCTATAATTCCTAATGTCCATTAGGTCTCCTTTCTTGTATAATAGTGTGACTATTTTTGTACTTATATAGGGACCTAATCCTTCATTGGTCCAGACTGTTCTCATAAACTTGCAGAATTCTTGTCCTAACAACGACCAGTAAGTTTGCCAAAATTCTTTAGATAGGTCATCTTTCCCTAGTGTTTTCCTTGGTTTTATCAAATCCAAGGTCTTTTTAATTTCTTCGTCGGTTATGTGTGTATCCAGATGGTTAGCTAAGTTGGTGGGGATTGTTTTATCCAGATGTTTGATAAATTTATCTCCGCTTGGAGTACCGACCTAGGTGTTGGTCGTTCCGTCTTAGAAGAATATAAATATTTGTAGAATGATTCTGCTATAGATAACATTTTTGTCGAGTTTGATGTGCGTCCTTCCTCTCCTCTTAGCTGGTGGATGGCTGTATTTCTTCCTCTTGCTTCGATTTTCTGGAAGAAAAACTTAGTCATTTTTTCTCCTTCTTCCCATTCTTGGATCCTAACTCTTATGCGTAGGCCTTTTGCCTTCCAAGCACTCCAATTGGCTAATTCCGCTTTAGATCTTGTCAGGATTTCCTCGTAGGTTGTTTCTCATGGGTTATTTATGAGGTTCCTTTCTGCTAGGTTGACTGTTATTTCCAATTCCTTCATCCTTTACTCTTTTTTGGCGGCTATTTTCCTAGAGGCTGAGGAGGCTGCTTGGGATAGGTTAGCTACTAGTGTTGGGAAATTTGTTTCCTTGCTCTCTGCGTTTATGCATGCGTATACTATTACTTCTTTTATTTCTTTGGTGTGTAGTAATGAATTGTTGATTTTGAAGAAACTTGTGCCTTTCTGTAATCCTCAGTCGAATAGAAGGTTTAAGAAGATGAGTGTGTGGTCTAAACCATTATGGTATGGAAGCTTGTTCAGTCTTGTGTCATGAACTGCTCCTCTAAGGGATTCACATATGAGGAAGTAATCAATTGTTGAGCTTGTTCTGTGTTGTGATCTATTTTTTTTTCTGTACGTGAATCTATACGTTTCTTGTGTATTGTTCTTAGAGGTTCTATTAGATTCTTCTCTAACAACATAGCTTGTATTATTTGTGACTCTAAAGGAAGAGTGTCCTCTCTGCCTCTTTATGAAACGGAGATTATATCTCTTACTGGATCTAGGATGGTGTTCCAATCACCTGCCAGTATGATGTGTTTTTGGGCGTTACACCTAGCTGCTATATTATGTATGAATGTTTGTCTTTGGGTGGGATCGTTAGGGGCGTAGACGCTCATTATTTGAAAGTTTTCTTCTTTGTAGGAGAAGTGTATTTTTATCCATCTTCCTTCTTCTTCATCCATTCTGATTTCTGATATGCTAAGTGATTGTGCTGCTTTTGAGTTTTGATGCCAGAGTATAGTTGTGCCTGCTGAGCTTGTTCTTGCGGACGGTGCCCAATAACCTGATTGGACATATTTTAATCTTGTTAGGATTTTCTTTTGCATTGCTTTGTGCTCAATGGACTCTGTCAAGTGGGTTTCTTGAAGGCACATTATGTCCAGAGGATTCTTAGTGTACCAGTTGAGGTATTTGGTCATGTTGTCTCATTTGTCTGTATTGGATAAGATTGTAGTCAATCCATTAACGTTCCATGACATTATCTTTAGTTCAGACTCTCTCGATTTTAGGGTGTAAGCTTTGATACCTTGTGAGTTTTGTGCTTGTTGACGTGACATTGATAATGTCATGGGGTGTGTTAGAGGTGTCTGCTCGTATCAGCACCTCTAACATA